AGTAAAAGATTAAAGGATTAAAGATAAATGAAGTAAAAATATAAAAAATATTATAAGATAAAAAAAAATAATAAAATATAAAAAAAATAAAAAGAATAAAACTATATTAAAAAAAATTAAAAGAAAATAATAAAAAACATAATTAACATAATTATAAATTATAATATAATTATATATATTTAAATATATATATATATATATATATATATATATATATATATATATATATATATATATATATATATATATATATATATATATATATATATATATATATATATATATATAAGTTGGTATTCAAAATATTCGATTCAAGTAGACAAAACGCTCTTTTGTGAGCTAGTCCTTTTTTCGTTTTAAATAAGAAAAATACAGTTTTTGTCTCTCACGTTATTATTGATTTCACATTTGAGTCCTCATGTTCATAAAAAAAAATTTATTTGGTCTCATAAATTCAACATTTTTAGTGTTTTTCGTCAATTTTCCATTAAAACTAACGGACTCGAGCATGTGCCCATCAATGACTTAACTGAAAGGTTAACGGTAAATTGACAGAAATGACCAAAAGCGTTAAATTATTGATACATGAGGGATCAAATGTATTTTTTGTGAACATAAGGGACCAAATGTGGAATCATTGCAAACTTGAGGGGTGAAAACTATAATTTTCCCAAAAAAATATTCTCTCCCGCCAACAATTTTCAATTTTCTCTTTTGCTTTATGCTTTATATTTCTCCCCAAATCCATCGTCGCCTACAAATTTGAATTTTCCCTAATTAAATTTCCTTCCCAAATTCATGGCCGCTGCTTGCTCCAACAACCATTTCAAGTTTTGCAGGATCCACTTCTCATGCAAATGTAATTGTTTTTGCCTCTTTCTGATTAGTATCCAATTTTTTTATATTTTGTGATTGTATTTTACCCCATTCGGTTTACATTCATTGTTTTATTGTGTAGGTTGTAGAATTTCTGATGCGATATTTAGTGAAATTCGTGGATGCCATTTTTTCGATAACTGTTGATTTGGGGTGAAGAATAAAAGGATTTCGCGCCTTTTTAGGTATGAATATAGGGGAAATCGGAGTAATCGAAACCTAGATCTTAAAAAATTAAATCTTAACAGTTCACAAATTCCGGGGCCGGTAATGATTTGATTCACGAATACTCTTGTCTGGATTATATTAGGTAAATATTAGTATTATGTGTATCGGTTTTCTGTATAATTTTTATGTGTACGTAATAAAATTGTTTGGATGAACATATTAAAGTGCAAAACATACGTGTGTGTGTGTGTGTGTGTGTGTTATGATGTCTGCATTGTTAGATATAGGATCTGATTATGTGTGAAGTGTGTGGATTGTGCGTAACATTTGAGTTAAAACTGTTTAATTGTGATACTAAATTCATTGAAATGTAGTTGTAATTTACAGACATGATGAAGGTCGTCTAGGAAACATAAACGATTGAACTGATCCTTTTGCTCTAATTTATTTTCGAAAAAGTTGGGTGCTTCGTTGCATTTTTCGTCGGATATCTGATCATGGCTCACGGACAACACATCTATAGCTTTTCGAACGAGAGTCTCGTGCCTTTCACCCGCCACATGACGTCACACGGACAGCAGGTGACAATCATATACTCCTTTCTATCACCGTCTCTGTAATACGTCACTTCTACCTAAAAATAGAAGATTTTTTTTCTTTTACATATTTTATTAATTAGCATTAATTTCAATATATATAATCGTAGTTTTCAAATTTAGAACCCTTGTCGGCATCCATTTCATTGGCGGGGCGGGACTTTTAGATGTCGTCAGTTTGTTAGAGACGTATCCCCTCCCAGTCGATCTTTCATCACGAGCACACTTCTTATTCTTCGCCTCGAACTTGTCGGGACTAAAATAAGCATTGGCTAAAAAAAAAAAAAAAAACTTGAGAATGTATAATAAATTTAAGAGAAGAACTCATTTTGTCTGCTGTCGAACTTATGTTTATAACATGCAATTTGTATTATAGGACCTTAAAAAAAACAGGAAAAAAGAAAAAAAAAATAAAAAACTGGATATACATAAAAGACTAACTATTTATCATCAGAATCGCTACTGGAATATGGTGAAATAACATGTTATTTTCCTCCTTTTATCCCTTTCTCTTCATCTTTTTGAAGCCTTCGTCCGGAATCCGTTCGCGAATTACGACACCGAGATCTCGATTTCCCATTTGATCGCCTTCGTCCGAATTAGCCTTTTTCTTGATCTTCTTGAAGCCATCGTGAGCACTTTGCTCACGAATCACTACACCGAGGTTTGTGTTTTATGTTTCGCCTTCGTCGTCCGTATTAGAGCTGCCAACTTTCATATATTTCTTGGACAACTCCTCTGAATTATTTTTATTGGAAGAACTCCCAACTACTTTTGTAGGTTTCTTGGAGTACGAAAAACCCTCATCATGAATATAAAACGTACTCCCAACTTAAGCATGTTTATAAAAATGGTCCTATGTCACATACTTTTGGCATGTTTATAAAAATGGTCCTATGTCACATACTTTTGGTTGGTTTTGATATACGTATTGAACCTATATATGGGTGTTAGTGATTACATGTTTAGTGCTTGGTTGGTTTACTAGTAAAATTCTACTCTTATTTATAGTACACAACCTCCTTAATTGATGATATATGATTGATTTAATACTACGATTGATAGTGATTCTATAGAACATTTTATATTCTAGTTACATTCTAGAATACAAGTATAGTTGAGAGAGTTATAGGGAGCTCTTATGATTTTTTATAACTTGGGTGACAAGGTCTACTTGTTTTTTTGTTTGGCTAATTTTCTTATTTCAGTGAAAACCTTTTTTCTCATACAACTATATTTTTGGGCTAATTTTCTCAATACACGAACAAGTATGAAATGATCGAAAACTCGAGTATGATTCCTAGTCTGCGCTGACGGATGGTCAAGGCATTGGATACAAAATATTCGCATATTTAATCGAGACCTTCAAAAGATTATTTTTATGCTACACCCAATAAATGTTACACCGGTTTGATTTTTACGTTGATTTATATATATACACACACACACACTTGGCTATGTGAGTTTGTATTTTTGAGTTATGGAATGGTAAAAATCTACCCGATCTACCAGAAGTTGGCACAATTGGAAATATAAAATAATTATATTAGGTAAGTTGGCTACGTTGAATCAACAGTTAATAACTCTTTAATTATCGGTATAACAACAATTGATTTATAATGATTCAACTAAATGGATTTTTTTTTATTGGAAAAATGACATACATAACCTTATTATTGTTCAATAATGTACAAATTAAATAATTTAATGGAGAAACCAATATAAATTAGCATTTGCAGACAAAAAACATCTCCAATAATTATTTAAACTGGGAAGGGTGATTTTTTCGTAATTTTCAGATTTAGACCAAATGGTGTTAAGGTTAAATGTCTGAAAACTAACGACGAGGGCCACATTGAGAATTTTTCAAGTACAGGGAGGCAAATCGATATAATCGAGAGTAGAAGGGGTCATAGTGATATTAAACAAAAGTACAAGGGAGGAAAGTGAAATTTACCCTAAATACTTAAATAGTACTCGTAAACTTAGCAGGAATCGTAGTGCAGAAAGGAACAATATCTAATAATACTAGGAGTCTAGGATACATAACTCTTATAAGATCGGTCAAAATTATTTTATAAATATAACTTTCTATACAAGTTTCTTCTTTCTCCTGCTCTCTCTAGATCTATACTTTTGTCGTAGAAAAAAAAAACATGGAGGAATTTTGTCGCGGTGCCATGAAACGACACGGCGACAGCGTGGCGACCGATCTCCATCGGATCGACACGACTTCGATGACGTATTTGGCTGCACCCCCAGCTATCGGTGAATTCGTCGTCAAATTCGTTTTCGCCAACGCATCGTTCGTTTCCTTTGAGTTTATGCAGCAATATTCCGAGCAACGATACATTATGAGATGCGCTCCTCTGCCCCTGCGGGAGGAGTTTGTCGTCTTCGACAGAGACGAGTTCTCGCGCGACGACGACGAACAAGTATGCGACGACATGTCCCGAGTACTCGAGAATTTGATCATGACTCCTAATTTGCGCCAACGGGTGAGGGACATGGCGCTCGTTATGTTGTACACGGTTATCAAAACCATGCCCCGGAGCCACAACCATATTTTGATTAAGATATGCGCGTTTGCGAATTTCAGGATCGATTTTGGCATAGAAATGCCCTTTTTCGAAGACGAGCTTCTTAAAGATTTAGAAGTCGAGAAATATGTTGTTCGTGGTATAGATGCGGCGACTTGCGCTATTTGTTTGAAAGATTTCGTCCACGGATGCAAATACGTTTTCACGGCGTGCGGGCACAAGTTCCATAGAGATTGCATCAACCAATGGCTCGGTGTTAGTTGTTCCGGTCGCCGTTGCCCCATCTGCCGTCACACGTTTGACCAATTTGCCCTCGCAACATCGTAAAAGTGACTATTTATCTTTATTGTATTTATTATTATTAGCCGTTCGTAGTTAGTTTTTAGATGCGTGGCTTCGATGAAAGATACGTCGGAATCTGCGGAAAACGCTTGTTCTTAACTTCTCTTCTCTAGTTATTCATATCAATTACAATGTGAAAAAATAAAAGATTAATAATAGTGGTGAAATATTGAATGAATTTCCAAACTCTGCAGATTTCAATATAATTCAAAATTTTCAATTTATAACAAAAACGAAAAAAAAAAAATCATTTCGATTTCTAAAAAAATGTTTCCAATTTATTCAAAAAAAAAAAATGCATGGAATCTGGAAGTAAACATATTTTTTTGGGTGCAAATTTAGACCGGATGACCTGTTTTAATAGGAAAATCGGATGTCATAGGATGATTGACACGTGGATAGTTTAAATAAAAATATAAGAGATTAAATTCTGAGCGGATCAACCGATATTTAATATAAATCGGATTTCACTAATTTTTTGACGTGTGGCACTCTTAAGTCTTAACACTTAATAAATCACGCTAATTATAATTAGGGTTAGAGGGGTTACGGGTTATGCTGACACGTGGATAGTTTAAATAAAAATATAAGAGATTAAATTTTGAGCGGATCAGCCGATATTTAATATAAATCGGATTCCACTAATTTTTTGACGTGTGACACTCTTAAGTCTTAACTCTTAATAAATCACCGTAATTATAATTATGGTTAGAGGGGTTATGGGTTATGCTAGGGTTTTTTTTTTTCTCTTTTTTTTTTTCCAATTATTAAAATTCTAGTTATATCTTTATTTACGTGTCAATCATCCTATGACATCCGATTTTCCTATAAAAC